TGGACACTGATGAAGTTGCATTGTCAGATAATAACGTGTAAATCAACTTTTTTTTCCTCCACAAAGAAACGGGAGCACGTGCAGGACGTTGCCTTGGCAACTGGCAGTGATCGACCTGCGGCGTTTTTTAACGTTAAAAGCCGCCGTTTCTGGCAACAAGACGGGCTGGAGGAGCAAACAATGCCTGAAAACAGCATCTGCGTCCCTATGGCGACCAGAGCCAGATGGCTGAGACAATAAACTCCGAACCTCACACCGTGAACTTAACTTTAGCTCCGGACTCGGTGGATAAACGGAGAGCAACCCAACGATTAACGCGAATATTAATTAGATGTTTCCACAATGGCGGTTGAGGTTAATAACGTCCTAGAAAACGAAGGTTTAGAGTGATTACTCGTGTTGTGGATAGTTTCTCCGAGCAGATTGGAACCAAATCGTTGCTCTTTAGCGAAACCCGGAGCAAATAACAACAAACATGACCTCTAGGAGTTACTTGTTTTGCTGTGTGTCTGTAAATATGTTACAGCAGACATGTGAACAATGCCAGGAGTAAATGAGGTAAACTTCTTTCAAACATTTCCCAACTTTCAGGCGCGGGGAGCAGCACCTGAAGCTGCCTCCTGTTAGCTAACAGGATTGCCGTTAACGGCTGAGAAGTTCGGAGAAGCCTCCATAAGCTGGTTAACCGAACCCCGCCGGGCTCAAATGCGACCGACCGATCACGTAAGCAGAAAGTGCTGACACAAACAGCTCCTCATTTCCGGATTAAAGGACATCCGTGTGGCCGCAAGCCGCCGCGAACAAACTCTTACCTCTATTTCAAAGTCTGGAAGCCGGAACGCCGTCCTGAACAGCGAGCAGAAGTGGGCTATGGCGGGGACTTCCCACCAGGACTGGACCTCTTCCACAGAAACGGGACATCCCTGGGACATTTTGGGATCACTCAAAGTGTGTAACGATCCTTCCTCACATAGGAAAGTAGCTTCTTCAGTGACTCAGAACTCCTCCGGAACATTACAAACAAGAAGAAAGTTGTCGCTCCCTTCTTGTTGGAGCGGTTGCCATTGCGACCAGCGGAGCGCTATGACTCGCTTCAATCAGTGTCTCAACCGAGCCGAACAGATGGAATGGACCGTACCATTCCGGCTGCAACATGGGGGGGGATCACCTAGTCAACACCAGTTAATAAACTACTTCTAAAGACATATAAAAACGCCAATCCAGCGGAAGTGTTTTTACGTAATCAGTAACAAACAGACACAACATATTTACATTTTGATTTGCTTTTTTTAACCGCGAAAATATGACCGGACCCCACCAATTAGATGGTGCGCTCCTCGTTTAAAGGGAACGATAGTAAAACACAGAATGACGAAGAAGCTGAAAAAGTTACGCAATGCCTGACTGGTGATTCATTCTAGTTTTGTTTTTCTTCGGATTTGGTTTCGTCTAAACTGTTATTAAACTTGTTAACGTACACTTCAACAAACGTTACTATTTTGTGGTCTAAGTCTGATTTTCTGTTAATTGTTGTTTAGTATTTTTTAGGGAATTTCGTTCTGTATAGATTAAGACTTAACTTCGGGTAAAGGGGTATTTTGTGAACGGCAGTGTTGAGTGAAAGTTAAGCTGCGTAGGGGCTCCCCCTACTGTGGTTATTAAGTATTGCACGAGCACCGCAGATAGACAGAATCACTGTGGCTCCAAGCATCCAAATAAATAAGAAACCAAAACTAACCGTTATTACGTTTTATTAGGAATCTATCAAATCTATTTCATTTTTATGTGCAATAACTAGAAAAGCAGAAGGTTCGTTTTACATTAAGAGGTGTGAACAGTTCTTGTATGGCAGCTCTTGTAAGACTTTACCACGCTAACACTTTGGTTTGAAGTGTTTTAGACTACTCTAGTCTATTATGCCGTTTGTTTTTAATATTATTTTGGTTCTTAATGACAAAACTGTGGAAATCTGCAATAGGTTTTCTAAAAATAGTATCTTTATGTTCTATTTTGGGAAAATCTTTTTGAGTGCAGACACACTGAATCTTTTCATTATTATTTTGTATTTAATTTTTTAAAACAATTTTTTGTATTTATTTGAACATTTTTACAACGCTGCAGCTTTGCCTGTTAGCATTCCGGTTGTCCAGCAGGTGGCAGTAGCTGTCAGTGTTCGCCCATCTCGTTGCTTCAGGTTCGTCGGTGACAAGTTTTATTCTGACGTAAATAGCAAATGTAACGCTCACTGAGGCTAGGCGCCTGACTACAGCCAAATATAGCAATAGGCAATCAGAAGGGTTCGCCTGAGGAGCCCGTGCATGTGAATAAAACACCAACAGACAGGTTGTAAGTTTAAGTCATTGTATTCAAAAGCATATCTTTGCATATATTTAGGGAGGTATTCAATAATAATAATATATATTTGTATTTTCCTATGAGTATAAACAATAATTACAACAAGAAGACAACAACAAAAATAAATCAATAATTAAACAAATAAATAAATAAATCCCGATAACACCCAAGAGTTCTTTTTCTCATTCAAGTCCAGTACTTTACATGCAGAGTGATTAATGATCCACCAATCACAGTCCGACTAGGTCCTTTTGTTTTCCCTAGTCCATGATCCAGGGCTATAGGTCCAGAGAACTAAAGCAATTTGGTCCAAGTTAGTCCTACCGCAAAGCTGCGGTGATCTGGTAGCTCACCATCCTGGGTTGAAACCGGGGGTGGAAAAAAAAACCTGACCTAAACAAGGTCATAAATAAAACAAATTAGCATGTAACAGGCTTAATCTGCTATTTGAGACACATAAACATTCATTACAAAAAATAGTTATATTCCATAAAGTACTTATCAGAAATGATTCAAATGAGTTTCTAATTAATCACATTAATGTTACAGATTAGAATCAAGTTACAGATCAAGTAGTCAGAGATCTAGTAAAATCACAGATCTAATAAAGTCACAGATCTAATAAAGTCACAGGTCTAATAAAGTCAGAGATCTAGTAAAATCACAGATCTAATAAAGTCACAGATCTAATAAAGTCACAGATCTAATAAAGTCACAGATCTAATAAAGTCACAGATCTAATAAAGTGCACTTTCAAGTTGTATCCAAGTTTAATTGACTTTAATGTCAATTAAACTTAATTGACTTAATTACTACTTCAAATAGTTTTTTTTTCTGTTTTGTTGCGCAACCCTAAAGAAATTAACCAATTCCAAAGTTCCATTGGCCGTTAACAAAATCAATGAAAAGTAACTAAAGTATCCGTAAAGGGCAAATTTACAAAAATCAAAAGGTTTGCTTAATTCATTGAGAATATATATTCTATTCGGCCACAAAATTAACAAAGAAAGAATGATCTTTTAGTTTACAAGACCATTCTAAAACGCCAGTACATCATTTTAAGTGGCGTGTCGCCACCGCATTTCTACTATACAAAAAAAAACAAAAGACGTAAAATAAACGACTCACCGTCGAGCAGTTGTCAGACTATACCCAATATAATCCTTCGGCTGTGTTAATTGGGCTCGATTTTGCAATATTCTTCAGCGATTTAGGAAAACGCCAACACCAGCAGCCAGCCACAGCGACAGCAGCAAAAGCAATTGAGCAGATCCGAGTGCAGTTCTGACCCCGAATTTAAAGCGTGCTGTCCGGTTTGACCCGCCAAAATAAAATACGGGGTTATTATTTTGTGCAGGCTACACAAAAGAATTTAATTTGTGAGAAATCTTGGTTTTTGGATGAAAATCTTATAAAACAAAGTTAAATTTGTGCTTTGCTATACTATTTATTTGCCACAAAGTTCTAGTATATCTTGATCCAAGTATGAGGTGAAGTCATTGACTCGTGTTTACATTTAATATAGCAGCATAAAAATGACTTTTACTACATGCATTTGCGTTGAGGTTTTTCCTCCATTATACACTTTCAAAATACATTATATGTCACAAAGGTAAGAGTGTACTGTAAATATAGTTCAATTAACTCAAATTAAGTAACTTAATTTAGGTTTACGATTGTAAATAGATTGTAAATCAAATAATACCTTTAAAAAGTATACTTTTATAAACTTGAAATGTTTTAATCTAGCCCAAAAAAATATTAAACTGGCATGCTTTGTATTGTTCTGCAGGTAAATGATTTGTAGTACACTTGCAATAAATGTCAGATATACTTAATAAAATTAACTTTGACTGTTAACATATTTTTTTATTAATTAAACTCCCTGCCACTGTCCAGGCTCCAATTAACCTATCAGAGGACTCCAAACCCATGACATCATCATCTGGCCTTTCCCTGTTACTTAAAGCGACAGTAGCCATACTTCTGATTCTGAAGGCTCATAAAAAAACCTGACGAATTATTTCTCACATTATTGTAAAATGTATCAAATAGAACATAAAAATGAAACTGGATGCTCTGAGTTTATTTTATTTTTATTTATTTTATTTTTTTATTTATTTATTTTATTAAGTATATCTGACATGTATTTTTATATAAGTTGGGTAAACATTTGTACTGGAACTTTTGTTCCCAAATAAAAGTAAAACAGGAGCGCACTTTTGGTCCCAATTGGAAGTCTGTGAACATTGTGGCATTCAGTGGGTCTGTGTGGATATTATGTAACAGCAGGAGAGTTGCACAGTGAGCTCATTAGTGATGGAAAACCTTTGTTGGAGCTCAGCTTGTGTAGTTACATTTCTAGATGAAATACACACAGAGATCCAGTTATTGATCAGTGTCTGCATGTCCACACCACAGCTTATGTTGGGATGTGTTAGTGTAGAGCTGGTAGCTGTGACACACACACACAGAAAGCAAGAGAGAGCGAGAGAGAGAGGAGAGAGAGAGGGAGAGAGAGAGAGAGAGAGGGAGAGAGCAAAGGAGAGAGAGAGAGAGGGAGAGAGAGAGTGAAGGAGAGAGAGAAAGAGGGAGAGAGAGAGAGAGGGAGAGAGAGAGAGAAAGAGAGAGAGAGAAGGAGGGGCTTCAGCTGCAGGACAATGCTGGTGTTTGTGCAGCGGCCCCTGAGTGGCGGCTGGTTTTCTCTCGTTGCTCTCGCTTGACTACCAGTTGCTGCGCTGAAAGGAAAGCAGACATCTTCATCCTGATGAACTGACAGAGGAAAGGTAAGATTTTTTCCTGAACGTTGTCTCACTGCTGTGCATTTAGGATTCCTTAGAGCAGTTTTTTTTTTGTGGGAGCTGGATGTTGGTTTGGGTTGAGGCACCCTTGTCTGAGTTTTGGCAGAGTCACTACTGTGTGTGTGAAAGGAAAGTTTCACTGAAAGAGGCTCAGTTAAAGGCTCCACTGGAAAAGACTGAGTTCAGCTGAGAACAATGATTATTGTGGTAGTAAAGTTCCTGAAAGAGGAGGCGGCGGAGGCGTTGGGAGGTGATGCAAAGTGTTACTAAGGGATAGAGTGAAGGTTTACTCCGGTAAAAATAGACAGAATGGAGATGGAAGGATTAAGAGAGGGAGATTAATGAGAGTGTGAAGGGAAAATAGAAATCGGAGAAAAAGATGACACTAAGGAAGCAGGAGCAGATGCTTACGGTCCGCCACACATTTCTCAAAAAGTCTGAAAAACTAACAGAAACAAACAAGCCTGTCAGACTGTTTGCTTAAACATTTCCTGTTTGGTTATTTGTTTTAGAAAGTGCAGTTAAATGACAGCGACAAACCTTTCATCGCAGCTCTGCCCTCCTTCCCAGCTGACAGATTAGAGACACTAAAGATACTGAAGTTTGACAGGATTTGCAACTGAAGTCGTATGAATGAGTTTCAGAAAGCATAAAAACCTGACGGTACAAACCTGCAGGTAAATAACGGCAGGACTTTGCAGAACCATAAGTGTGTGTTTTATGTAATCCATGTGTCTGATTGTGTTTTGTGCGCCCAGACAGAGAGAAGGACGTCTGAAGTCGTGGCTTTTCTGCACCTCAAACCAAATTCAGCTTCCAGCTGTGGAGCGCACAAAGGAGGCCGTCCACCCAGACTGCATTTCTCAGCTAAATAAATCATCTGGTTCGGGATTGTAGCAGGTGAGAGCTGAAGAAACACCTGGAGGACGACAGGAGGAGCGTTGGAGGAAGGCAAAGAGCCCCGAAAACACCAACATGGGAGACAAGAAGGTCAGGTAAGAAACTGTCTGCTTTACTCACCTTAGGACAAAGTCACAGTGTTTTCTGTAGCAATATACCAAAATATAGTTTATTTTTATTTTTTCTCATCAATTACAAACTCTATTTCAGAAATCTTGGTACCAAAATAAAGCAAACACTTAGGAAACTCCACCAGAAGAGAAAACATCACAGCAGCTGCAGCTATAGAAATGAGGATGGAATATTAAATCATTTGGATTTTTTGCATTATACTTACTGCATGTAAACCTTTTAGAAATATCATAAAAAAGTACAAATGTCAGGAAACAATACCTGTTCAAACACTGATGCAGCTGCAAACTGCAAATTTACAGACGCAGTAGAAAGAAAAGCAAAGGCCTTTTTATCCAACAAAACTGGGAGTTTCATGATGTGATTTTCTAATCAAACTTTATTCAAATTCAAAAATGTTTTATTGATCCCAAAGGGAAGTTAAATTGTTGTGGCTCATGTTGGCAGGAAAGCTCTAGTGTTGTGATTTATTACAGCAAAGAAATAAACTTCTTTTTTACATGTCTAAATTTGTTTTTATGTTTTTCTTAAATATCCACATTTATTTTTATCCAATTATAAAAGAACACTAAAATCTATTATATCTGACTCCAATTAAAGTGTATTTTTTAAGGATCCAAAGTAAAACATAAAAGGAGAAAAATTATAACTAAATTAAGCAAATTTACTGAAAAAATATTAGAACCAACAAAATATGTACTTTTTTGGCTCTATCAGAGCTCCAGTCTTAATGTTTATACTTCGCATGGTGCAGACCGAGTTTTTATTTCATTTCTACATCTGTGTGTGTGTGTGTGTGTGTGGGTGTGTGTGTGTGTGGGTGCGCGTGCGTGTGTGCGTGTGTGTGCGTGCGTGTGTGTGCGCGTGTGTGTGCGTGTGTGTGCGTGTGTGTGCGTGTTTGTGCATGTGCGCGTGCGTGCGTGTGTGTGCGTGTGTGTGTGTGTGTGTGTGTGTGTGTGTGTGTGTGTGCGTGTGTGTGTGTGTGTGTGCGTGTGTGTGTGTGTGTGTGTGTGTGTGTGTGTGTGTGTGTGTGTGTGTGTGTGTGTGTGTGTGGTTGGTCCCTTTCAGTCTCCCTGCTAAGCTGATCAACGGGGGCGTGGCGGGCCTGGTTGGTGTCACATGTGTGTTTCCTGTTGACCTGGCGAAGACCCGCCTCCAGAACCAGCAGGGCGTCCAGGTCTACCAGGGAATGTGAGTGGGATTTCCTCCACGGCCGTAAATCTGCTCCTGTAACTGATCTGGCCAAACAGACGGAGACGGGTTGCCTGCACAACTCCTGATGTTCAAACAGATCTCTCTTCCTCCAAACATTAACAATATCTGAGCTGCATCTCCTCAAAATGATGCTAGACACTTCTGTAAGTTTACAATCAAGCTTAAATTAATGATCAATGTGGATGAGGCAAAATACTTTGTATGGTTTGAATCTACAGTGATTTATCCATTGTTTAAAATATTTCACGCTAAGTTTAGTTTTTTTCTAGTTTATTGTGAAGCAGAAAAAAAAATCAGAGAATAACTTCAGCATTTTTAGTTTAAAAAAGAAACATTTTTGGCCATCTGATTCAGTCGAAAACTAACACTCCTGATTTATGTTACTTAACTCATCATAAGAGGAATAAAAATAGGGATGAATTTGTGAAAGTCATATTTTCACCATATGATTAATTCACTTATTTATACATTGCAAGATATAAAACTGAATATTCAATCATTAAGCTAAATATTTAGCTTAGTTTAAAGCTAAGGATTTAGCTTTAGCTACTAAATCCAGGACAATCCTGGAGTGAAAATGTGTTTGATGCTGCAGAAGAGCTGAGACTCGGTTTAGGTTCCCCTTCCAGCAGGACGACCACCCTGAACAAACAGCCAGAGACATTATGGGACGGCTTGAACCAAAGCAGATGCACGGCTTAAAATGGCCTAGTTAAAGTCCAGGCATAAATCCAAATAAGAATCTGTGGAAACACTTAAAAATTATTTTAAGGATGAAGAGCAGTAAGACACTCTCTCCATCCATAAACTCATTTCTGTTGTTATTTCCAAACAAATGTATTTTTCAAACATCTGAACTGGTTGACCAATAAAGCTGAAGAAGTCAGAACCAGTCGTCAGGCTGCAGCTGGTGGAGCTCAGCTTGTTCTGCTACGAATTCAGGAATTTGCTTTGGCAGCAAACCAACAGGTAAATTAGGACAAAGTATGACTTTTACATTTAAATCTATTTACAAAAACGAGATCGTTTTTTTCCCAAACTTCCTGGTTTTGTTTTGTTGTCATGATAACTGGAACCACATCTACTTATTGACTTACACTGTACAGCCGGGGTGCAGGACGCCGGCCCTCCTGCATGCTTTAGTTCTCCCAGGTTAGCATCACAGATGAAGAACCTGCTGAGGAGGTGGTGCTTCCACCAGGCAGAGAAGTAAGACGTGCAGGACGCCGGCCCTCCAGGGCCGACTTATATAAGCAACTCAAATCTGCTTATATTTGCTGTATTAAAACTTGGCTAAATACAGGAAGTGTTTTCAAGTGAAGACTGACCCAAATCCTAAACAACAGGTGAAATAAATGTATTCAGTTTTCTTCAGTTTAGCCCAAAATAACAGGCCTGATGTTTTTTATTCAAAACAATCCAAAAACTATTTGAAGCTACAATCAAAAAAGAAAGAAAGAAAGAAATCTCATCTGCTTAATCAAACAGTTCATGCTTGTTTTATTGTTGAGTAGGTTAAAAAAAATCACAATATTTTTGGTGATTGTACATTTTAAAAGTGATATTTGCAGTTGATAATTATGGGCCAAATGGCATAAAGTTTGGAAATCTGTGAGGTTTGTGTTGAAGTCTCAAAGGGAAGCTGCTCTAAACTCAGTCAAATCTGTGTTTTTATGATGATATTAGCTCTTACAGCTCCAGTTATTTCATATTCGCTCATATTATCAGAGCTGAAGACGCGTAGAGAGACAGAAAAGCAGAAGCAGGCTGAGCCGCTGCCCTTCAGCAGCACAGCGACCCAGAGGTTTGATCAGCACACATCTGCTGGCCGGGCGTGGCCGTCCTGTTCATGCTCAGCTGCCTGTGGGTTTCCTGTGACTCATGCATGGAAAATATCTGGGAAAACTTCTCTGCAACACAGTTAGACACCATTTTCTCAACTTATTCGCTTTAAAACAGCCAGGATGGCTTGGAATAGCAGTCTTATTCCATCTATGAAGAAATAAGACTGCTAATTCACCCCTCTGCAGAATATGTTGTGAACATAACCTGATGAGAAATGTAATGGCTGTTTTTTGTTGTTCTAAAGGTTTGACTGTCTGGCAAAGACGGTGCGAGCCGAGGGCTATTTCGGATGCTACCGAGGTATCTAATCCACAAAACTACGATGTTGTTGTCCTGCAGAGCTTAAATCTTTTTACGGTGGAAACCAGTGAACCATCTGTGCTCTATAGTGACCCGCTAAGCTGCTTTTTAGGCCTGTTTCTATTTGTGGAGACAAACGTCGGCCTGTTTGTTGTTTTCAGGAGCAGCCGTAAACCTCACGCTCGTTACGCCAGAAAAAGCCATCAAACTGGCCGCCAACGACGTCTTCAGACAAAAACTTTCAAAGGACGGGTAATTTATCTTCTCCTGTCATTTGATGCACCAAATGACACCATTAGAAGGGAGTTAATCAGATCCGTTAGTAGGAGGTGGGGAAACTGCAACCACTTGTGGAAAATTTCTAAATGTTACTTGTGATTTTTTAGTGATATAAATCCATTTCTGTAGAAGCCCAATTCCACCATGAAAGACAAATAATTACCAGAATAAAACTCATAAGAAGTACTTTTATTCTTGTAATTAGAACTTTTTTAAAACTGAATTTGTACTTTTATTGGCATAGATCAATTTTGTTCTTGGAATTATGACTTTAAAACTCATAATTATGACTTCCTGCTGGCCTTTTGTTTTTTATTTCATGGCAGAAATGGGCTTCCATACTTAATGCATGCAGTGTCTGTGTACTGACCAGTGTGTAACCCACTGCTCTGCCCCAGGCATTTGCCCCTGTGGGGGGAGGTCCTGGCGGGGTGCGGGGCAGGGACCTGCCAGGTGGTCGTCACCACTCCCATGGAGATGCTGAAGATCCAGCTGCAGGACGCAGGACGGCTGGGTGAGGCTTTCAGGACTTTCCCAGAGTCGGAGCGCAGGAGTCTCTGCTGCCTGACTTCCGGTGTTTTCCGTTTGCAGCCGCACAGCGACCCGTGGCGGCTCCGACCCAGGCGGCGGCGGCTCCCGGTCCGGCGCCGTCGCTCGTGGCCCCGGCGGTGCGGCGGCCCTCGGCGACCGGCATCACGGCGGATCTGCTGAAGACCCGTGGCCTGGCCGGCCTGTACCGGGGCGCAGGCGCGACCCTGATGAGGTCAGAGAAAACACCTGCAACGAAACGCCGAGGAAACGTTTTCACACCCTCAGACGCAAACAAGAGTAAAAATCTGTAAATCTGTTCTTTTAGAGCAAAGTTTACAATTTACAAGTTTGTGCAAAATTATCCATATCCTGCAGATCTCTGCAGGTTTAGCATAATCAGAGGTCTTCAACATGGGGGTTGCAACACATCGGGGTCGCAGAGGGACTGGAGAGGGTCGAGACTGTGAGATTTATGATTCAGGCATTTATTTTGTAAATTCAAAGAATTTTCTTGACATACATGAAAGCAACACATAACAGCAATAGTCTCTTCATTATGTTAAAAATTCTGTTTTATAAAACAGTTTATGGCAGTATCATTATTAGACTTTTGAATTAAACTTATGTTTTTAAAAAACAAAATGAAGAAGCTGTAAATTACTTGCAATGTAAAAATATCTATCAAATTCTATTTCTTATTGCATATCATTTTTTCAAACTATTATTCTCTGAGCAGCTTGCAGGTCTGTTGTTACTGATCCAGTTTCTGACGATCTATGATCAATAGATCAATGGAGTCCTGCAGCTATGTCTGGTTGTTACGCTGCTATTAATCTCATCACTCCATCGTTTTTTTCCCAACTTTTCTAATGTTTTGTTGCAGGGATGTACCTTTCTCCATGATCTATTTCCCTCTGTTTGCCAACCTCAACGCTCTGGGCCGGGAGGGCAGCGAGGGCCAGGCGGATGTTCAGGCCCAGGCGCCGTTCTGGCAGTCCTTCGTGGCCGGCTGCTCCGCCGGCTCGGTGGCAGCAGTGGCCGTCACGCCGCTGGACGGTGAGCAGCGGTGACATGGACACATATAGTGCATTACAACTTTAATGCGTTTTAATGGGATTTTATCACAAGCCACGTGTGAAAAGGGAAATGACAGAAAGTGGAAGGAAAATGATGTTACAAATGAACATCATGCTGCAGCTCCGTTACGCAGCATGCAGCAGCTGCTGCTGCTGCATGCTGCTGGACCTCTGGGGTTCATTTCTGCTTCCAAACTGACCTGATGGGAAACATTATTGTTGTGTTCAGGCTAAATTCTATTAGCCTGAAATAGAATCTCGATGCTAAACATGCAGCAGTTAATGCTAATGGCCATGAATGATCAGGGCTTCCTGAACTCTTTGTTTGAAGAACCTGAAGACCTGATTAAAACTATAAATATTGTTGTTGTTGAGCTCATTTAACTATTTATTCAATAATTTAACAGCAAAAACAGGTTTTCAGTTAAAATGCTGCTTACTTTGTCTGTTTAGTTTTGAAAATGTTAATTGTGATTAATTACAAACCCTTCAATTCAAAATCAAAAATACTTTATTGACCCCAAAGGGATATTAATTAACTTGTTTCAAAGTTGTAATCAAGTTCCACGTTCATTTTGTGTTTCTGTTTGCAGACGTTGCATTTTTAGAGACTTTTTGTTGATTCTTCTTTGGGAAACAAATCAAGCTCAGGCAGATTGGATGGAGAGCGTCAATGAAGATCAATTTGTATATCTGTATGTTTTCATACTGCAAATAGCATAAATTAGAGATTTTTTTCTTTAAATGTTCCCAGTGATAAAGACTCGCCTGCAGACTCTGCAAAAAGGCGACGGTGAAGATTCGTACAGAGGAATTGTTGATTGCACAAGGTAAGACTGCTGAGCAAAGGGCTTCACGACTCCTTCCTGCATCTCTCTTAAAACTGAAGTTTCAACAAATACGTCATAAAAATCTATATTCTCATAAGTTACACACTGCAGCTTTAAGTCGTCATTTCTCTGAATCTTCCAGACGCATCATGAGGCGGGAAGGACCGTCGGCGTTCCTGAAGGGCGCGGCATGCCGGGCTCTAGTCATCGCTCCCCTCTTCGGCATCGCGCAGGGCGTCTACTTCCTGGGGGTCGGGGAGGCGGTTCTGGGTTTACTGGGATAGCGGTGACTGGCGGCGGTGAAGAGGAACACGAAGGAGAATCCCAGCTTCATTCTCCAGAAAAATGGAGTTTCTCTGGTTTCACCGCCTGGCAGTGAGGTTCTGATGGGTCAACAAGGTCCGGAGTAACTAACCCGAGTCCAGGTGTTCCCTTCACCTGAAGGACGTTTCTCCCGCTGGCTGTAAAGAAAGAACTGCTGGATATTTTTACAGCTGCTAAACTAAAATGCCTGACAGTGAGTGTGACCCATTTATTTTCTATCTGCTTAAAGCAGCAGCTCCGTTACGCAGTCCTCCCACTCCTTCCTGTAGGTCACAGTTGTAATCTGGTCTTCTGCTGGACTGGGAGCCAACCTCTATAAGGTCATTTGTTAATCTGATGGTAATTCCTTTAATCCCTGTAATAGCGTACATTTCAATTTACAACACAGCTCACTTCCTGCTAAAAGGCCACAGGTTAGACTGCAGGACAAAACGCAGCAGCCGTTTTTCACTTTCACTTCAAATAAGAACAATAATAAAGATAAATTTCCCTCCTTATTTATGGTTTGCTTCAAATAATGTGCGCACAACAACAAAGGACAATGCAATCAACGCCTTATCGATCCTCTTAGTGTTAAAGTTTATGTCTTGTAACATGTTAAAGGATTTTGTTTTTAAAGTGGGATTCTGTACAGAAGATACAGAAAGTCAGTATCTGAGCTTCAGACCTTGAAGCTAAAAGCTAATCTGTGGAGTCGCAGTAATTTATGCCGTGATGAAACATTTCCAACATCAGAGCAGTTCTCTAAACCTTCACCGAGCCAGACGACTGCTGCCAAAACGTTTATTAAACTATTCAAACTTTTTTATTTCTCACCAACATTAAATATGGAGATTTTTTGTTTTAGATCAGTCAGGATCACCAACATTATTTCTTTTTGCTAAATGTCAGAATAAGGATATAAATCTATCACTTTAACAAATAAAACTACTTGATTTGGAATGGAAACAGAGCTGCTGTCGTCATCCACTTCAAAATAAGAGCATGAATATAAACATTACTCACATGAAAAAATTGTTCTGCACAATAGGGGATCAGCAGAAGTCTGACCGCCACGCAGCAGTCAGTAACCAAACTGCAGCACATCAAACGTCACATAACTGTACAAACAGCCACGTATTTTATCAAGAAAAGTTCATTCAAGTGACATCAAGTACATAAAATCTTTTCAAAGTTAGCAAAAGCACTAACCCAAAAAACGATCTTTGTCCAGTTCTGAGAAGTCAATTCACTATGTTTCAGTTTAAATGAAGGAAAACCTGAAGAGGCCCTTTGAGGCAGCAGCTCAGACGCTTCCTGGTTAGATATCAAAAGAAATCAGGAAAAATGTCAGGAACAGAAAATTGTGTTTCCACATATCTGGTTCATTGTTGGTTCAACTTCCTGGTGCACGAAGTTTCTCCTGTTCAAACAAGATTAATCAGCAAAGCAATTGGATGGCAAATATTAAAAATATGCCTCGTTTTTCTGTCATTTAACAAATAAAATGTCATTTTGTTGATAATAGACAGAAAACAGGGAACATTTACACAGATTTAGTGTCTTTTACATGAGTACCTGCTTTTTACTGCAACACAAACATGACAACCTGAAATAACTCCATTCCATCAAAGTGAAGATACTGACTGCTTGTAACATCTCAACAAAACCCCACTTTAAAATTACCCCAGTAGCTGGAAGTGGTAATATTTTGCTAGAATTCAAATTTAGACAGGACAGTTTTAAATATTAGACAGAAGCAGTTTAGTAAGGCGCCTCGTCTTACCAACCGCCAATACTTAAAGCCACCAGGTGGCGCCACCTGGTGGCGCCAACAGGTGGCGCCAACAGCTTGTTTTGTTTTTGCATTGTAATACCAGACAGACGTGTTTCCATAGCAACTACCTTTGTCCTGTTCTGTAGAGAAAACTGTTTACACACTGTAAATAAAGAGATCTCCAACATGTTAAACTGACTCCAATTTGTTTATTTTGGCTGTTAAACATCAAATAAACTTAAAAATGTTTTCCAACAATATCAGCAGCAGATTTCAGTTTATGCATCACGTATTTGCAGAAGGTAAGGAGGACATAAGAGCTACTGCTGGGTTACGTTTAAGCCCAGACGTTTTCTGAAAACACTGATCAGTTTAGTTTGACCTGAAAACGTCAATCGCTCTCCTGCGAGGAAGGTCAGGGGTCACCTTGACGTTTCCACCGATGTTCTCCTCAAATTAATCCAAGAATCTGCGGTTGGGGTTGGAACCGAATAAGATCTCTCTAATTTCAGGCATCATCTGGAAGGAGAGGGCGGCGCCGTTTGTTTTAATGAGGAAAAAACGCTGATAGATTCATTAAGGTCTGATTAACTCAGAAAGTCAGTGGTTCTTTCTTCTAAACAGAGAAATTGTTTCAAAATACTGATGCTAATAATTTAATGTCTAAGCACCAAAATATAACTTCAAGATGCTCAACATGTCTCTTTTTAAATTATTTTTGTGTAGGAGTTTGCATATAATTACTACGTTATTCCCACAATATGATTTTCATGCTACCAAGACTGTATTCTCGCATTATTACAGTTTTATTCTCGTTTCATTATGATTATTCCAGTAATATTCCGATTTTGTCATTTAATTGCTACTTTATTCTACTATGAGTTTTTTCTTGTATTATTGTGACAATGTTCTTGTAACATAAAAATAAATTTATTAGCCTGATCAATATTCTATCATGTTGAAGTTTTGAAAACTGTTTGGCTTCATCCAGACTTCAGAACATGTTCAACATATTTTAAAATTTTCAGCTTTTGGGTCAAACAGGAACCGGGTTTGAACAAAATGAACAAACACTTAAAAACGCAAAAGGCTGAAAACATTCTGAAGTTTTCAGGTTTTTCCTACTGATAGAGTTATGCTGCCCCTGCAGACACACAGCAGAACTACATGCTATGATTTTACCTAGTAATCCAAATTTCTGCACTTTGTGTAATGTATAATACCTGCTGTGCTACGAGATCCAGTCTGCTCTCCAGGGTGTTGGAAACCTTAATCTTTTCCATTACTGTTATAGACTTCAACGCCGCCGCAGCTGTGAAAAACGCAGGACAGATTTACTTTAACTGAACGCATCAGCAGCAGCCGCTGGTCCGCCGGTCCACTGTGCTGCAGGGTTCAAATCTGGTTCCAAACAGCTGCATCACATGAGGAGATGATTAAATTAAAACTGTGATGGATTTGACCATCTTACATGTCTGATGGAAGGAAGTGATCCTGGTCAACCCGGACAGTTATGTTGCTCTTCACCGTCTCCTTGTAGATAGTGATGTTCTTATCCACTGCAGCCTGCAGTCACAGCACACAGCTTTATTTCACCAACCCAAACCGTCACCAGCGCAAAGCAGAAAAGCTAGACTACCTGAACCATGTCAACATCCTGCTGCCGGCAGCGGACGGTGACTTTAGGCTCCAGCAGCTGGTAAAAGCCCTAAAATGTAGCAATAAATCAAAAGAAACACGGTTAGCGTAAGTAGTGGGCACACTTACGCTAACCTGCTAACAGCCAAGCTAACAGCCAAGCTAACCTTTTGCTTAGCGCTTCAGCTAACTTCAAAAAGGTCTAGCATACTTAGCTTCCCATAAATGAGTTTTCCTGGATAAATTCAAAGTTGTTCATTATTTGGTTGTTTAGAAAATGTTCAGTTGAATGAAGTTCAACATCTGCGTTGATGTATAGATATTTTAAAACAGAATCACACTAAAAACACCAATGGTAGTATGTTTTAAAAAGTCTTGCTTTCTTTAATTTAAAATCTAAACACAGAAATAAAACGTGGTTCTTTAAAAATAACAAAATTTTTGCTACCAAAAAACTGAGTTTCCTTTTTTTAAAAGGTCTGCAGTCTGGACTGAAGGCTGTAGACGCCCTTAGCATTAGCAGAACCAATGTTTATGCTTCAAGGTTAGAGATGCTAACTTCTTTATCTAGGGTCGCCCACCACTGTTCTTGGTGAAGCATTACTTATGATTCTCAGCTCACCTGCAGCAGCAGACCCTCCAGCAGCTTGGCGTACCTGTCCGGGTCTTTGACGATGTCAGCGATTCTTTGTCGAGCCTCACTCAGCAGATCCTGAACATAAACACAAGTTGAAGTTTTTAAGAGCCGCTTATCTCAGAAAACCTTTTCTCAAGCACTTCTGCATAGTTTCTGCATGGTGCAGAACCAATTGTTCTCAAACTGCGGGCGCCCCCTGGTGGTTCACACGGTACTGCAGGTCACTCAGCAGAAAAACTAAAGATATCGGTGGAAAGAAAACATTGGCAGCCAAGTCAGACCTGCTGAAAAGTATTAATCTGTCGATTCTTTTGACCCAATTGCTCTGCTTGCACTTATTGTTATTTTTATTTAATTAAAAGTGATTCAACCGGCAACTAAATACAATTGATGAAAATGGGTGTCTAATTTTTATATTTAATAGTGCAGAAGGTTTTTGTTTCTGCCAAAGCAACTCAAGTCTATTTTTATTTTACTATGCTTCTAGATTATAAATTATAACATTTCAGGTTATTATTGCAGAAAACAGGATTTCTCTTTAGATTTTCATGTGTTTGTCAAAACTGAATCCACACTTTCAGAATCTGCAAATAACTAAAAACTCTCCCGACTTAATATTTGCAAAGGTGAGTGGCTGTTACAAAACAGCATCATCCTTCTCATTAAGATGAACAAGAAAACAGCAATAAGTGAGTTAAATAATTTAATTTCAGGTTGCATATGTTAAAATTGAGTTATTGCGGGGCAGTTTAAGGCTGGTGAGTTTCTGTGAAATGGGTTAAAAGGTTTGAGGATCTGACCGTCACCATGTCGTCTCGGGCCTTCAGCACCTTCAGCCTGGCTTGGTTCTTCAGTTGGGACATCTGGCTGAGGAGAGACGATTCCTGATGAGAAACATCGCTCTGACCTCCAGGAGCCACACTAAAGAACACAAACCTTAAAAACTCACATTTTCTTATGTTGTTCAATCTGCTTCTCCTTCTTCTCATAGTAACTCATAATTTTCACCCGGTGGGTTTGCACCAGGCGACCTTTCTCGATGTTAAACTCTTCTTCTCCCTGAAAGCAAACATCCCGGTCCGTTACGGGTCGCTGTGACGGAAGTGGACGTTCTGAGCTGAACGTCCGTTACCTTGGCTAAGATCTCCTCGACTCGCTCGCTGGCCTCCTGCTCGATGAACGCCATCATGTGTTTGATCTGCAGCCACAAAACAGATGAAACTCACACCAAGGTTTAAGTCTGAATCTTTCATTTAACTCCAGTGGTAGTCGAGTTAATTGACAGCAAAATAAGCAACATTTTCAATTCAAAAACGCATTTTTTTTCTACTAAATTATTGAATAAATAGACATAGGAGCTGAAATATGTATAATTTCTAATCTATTGTTCAGGTTTTTCAACCATCAGATGGGATGACTGGTTCCTCTGGATTTCCCTCAGAAACAGCAGGTCTAACGTCATCAGGACTGAAGTCAAAGAATCAGACTGGAGGCTCCATGAAGTTCACGGAGTTCATGGAGCTGCTCCTCTCTGGGGTTGTCAACGTTTAAAACACATTTCAGAAAACTTCTTTTTCTGCATTCTTTCAGTATCTTTGTATTCAAACGGATCCCTGACCCATCCGAGTATTTATCCCGAAGACAAAAGGAATGGTGAGAGTGCAGTGCCCTGTGGTGCTCCCCCAGGTAAATATAAAAACAGGCACAAAGAGCCTGAATGCATCATCTGGAAATGATTAGTCAGCATTTGTTGCAGTTTTTTGGGATCATCATATTGGATATTGTGATAACAATGAATTTGCAATGTGACGCCACACTTCTGGGAATTTTTGTAGCTGACAGCCATCTTGGTAGGCAGCCATAACCAAGTGCAATGAGAGTTGATATGGAGTTGCTATGACAACAATAAACTAGACACAAACTTTGAACTATGAAAACATTACAACTACTACACATTACAATTTTTGAGTACTGTACCAACCCCTGAATAATACAAAAATAAATATCAGTGATATTTACTGAAGCACTTGCTGTACTACAGTAACAACTACTAAAATTAGCTTTGCTAATGTAGCTTTTATCTGCAAGTTAAGGCAGACTTGCAGCCTACCAAGATGGCTGTTCTTAGGGAACTTGCTCTTCTGTGATCTATGGTCATAATGAAGTTGATTATTTGCTGATTGTGATTTTTTAAAAGTATTTTTCCCCCCATTTTGTCCCATTTCAGTCGGACTTTCTGCATTCACTGACATTTCTCTCCAATGAACCTTTGACTTGTCAACAGAAACTAGGTTTGTGTGACTGGACTGGTTCCAGTGACTGGTTCCAGTGACTACTGGTCTCAGTGACTGGTTCCAGTGACTGAACTTTCATACAGAAACATAAATGCAAACAAAAGGCGGATTATTTTGATTATTAATATTGGGCAATTATTATTTAACTCAGCTGTACTGTAACTTGCAGCATTCTAGTGTCCAGATCGATGTAAACAGGATGTTTTGCTCCAGGATGTTCTTCCAGTTTATCCGCTGGAATAAAACGTTTTTTTTAAAAAAGGCGGTTTCATCCTCACCTGCTTCTGGACGTCTGCGTCGGTGAGCGCCATGTTTCTGCTGTTTCTTGTAGTTTGGAGCGTAAAAATTCAACTTTTATACAGCAGCGAAGGAGGCGCCGTGTCGAGCCCAACCAGCTTTTCTCCCCGAGTTTACGACACAGGACTTCCGGTCAAACTTTTTAAATTTGGCCCCACAAGTAGAACCGTTTATACCCTTGTTTTAATTAATTGTTTATCATATTTTTTCCCGTTAAAGTTCCACATGCTTTCATTTTAGAGCAGCACAAACATCTTTTTTCAGCAAATTCTCCCAAAGTAGTAAAGATGGAGGGCGGGGCCTTCATAAACCAGAGAGACAGAGCGTTGACCTGTCGGCCATATTGGGAGTGGCATCTTTGCTGCGTTCTGCAAAAATACAGTTATGCTGCGTTCCATTTACCTCGGAAGTCGGAATTTGTTCTCTTCTAATATTTTTCCCAATTTCTATAATAACAACAACAATGGCAATAATAATAAGAATATTTATTTATTGTCATACAAATACATATTAATATCTAAACATTTGGATTTTAAAGGGCTTTGTTGTCACCCATCATTATGTATTTATTATTATTATTATTATTATGATTATTATTATTATTATTATTATTATTATTATTATTATTATTATTATTATTATTATTATTATGTGGTTTTGTATATTGTTAGAAAGTATGAGTGAATTTTAAGCACATGAGTTTTTGTCATTAATGTACTCTCCCATATAAATATTCTACATAAAAGCAATTTATCTAAATTCCTTGACTGTAAATTGAAGTTCAGGATATTCGGAAAGCCAGATTTCCCACCAGATTGTCCAGGTTGAAACTCTCACACTGGCGGAAAACCCGATGTGTCTTCTGAACGGCGCTTCTCCACAGCGTTTTAAGGCTCGAGTTTTCACGCCATGGTGCATTCACTCAAGTCGGAAATATGTGTTTATGTCATTTCCAGAAATAACACTGACTAACTGAAGAGCTTTGTGACACCCGATGAGAAAAAATCACACACTTCTTTTACACAGTAATTTAATCAGTGTTATTTATGTGGCTGTATAAATCAAGATGACATCAAAGTTCAACAACAACGATTAAATTGCATGATGTAAATTTATTCAGAAACATATCAATTCAACTAATAAGAGCAACAAGTCGATGTTTGTTTGAGCTGTACAAAGCTTGGAGTTTCAAGAGTTTTAAAATGAAGATGCTTGAATAGATATGATCATCACTGTTTTCACTGTTTTATATGGCTTCATTTGGATTCCATATAAAATCCCAATGAAATACATTGAAACGTGTTGTAATTTGACAAAATATGACAAGTTTAAACGTTCCAACCATAAACTTTCTTTTAGATGGTGAATAACTTTATTTATGAAGCACCAAACCATCTCTGGTGAAATTGGATGTGAGGAAGAGTTGATTCACGTATTCTAAAACCATTTAAATGTGGATCGTCTACAATACGAGATGTGCCTGAATGCATCGTTAGACCGTAAAATACGCTATAGAAGGACAATGACATTAGAAGGACAGAAAAGGTGGGAAACGGCGGGACATCTACACAACTGACCAAACGGTTCGAAGGATCCGCTTTATTTCCACATATAAACAGAAGCTACGCACGTTTTTTGTGGCAAACGGAAGTTTTATGTTGAAGGATTTCACAGGAAGCCCGGTGTTTCATTTTCGCGCGCTTGCGATCCATTCAGAGCGCATTGTTGGTGCTGCTGCCGACCCGCGGCGCTCCGCTCACTTCACATCCCGCAGCTGCGAGGGGTGGTGGCGACAACAGCGTCCAGCCTGGCGGTTGTCAGCGTTTGGTTTCCTTCTGGACAAGGACGGTGAGAAAATGGCTCCCGCGGGAGCGTTAGAAAGTTGCATTTAAGTAATTTCTCGGCAGTTTAAACGTTAAGCTAGCTAATGTAGCTTCCAAAGAGACTCCGGGGTTCCAGCAACGTTTGTTTAACTAAAAACGGGGTTTTTCCCTTTAAATATCAGACAGGAGCTTTTTGCATGTTCACCAGATAATATTGATCACTTATTGGTACTTGAAAATATTTTACACCACCGTGATGCTGCTATTTAATGAAAACGTAACCAGGTTTGATGCTGCTATTAACACTGCGTATAATCTGAATAGTTTTATTAGTTTTAAATTAATTTGGGCAGCATGTGGTTTATTTTGACAGTTACACCGGAAGTGTTTTCATAGTTTGGTTGACTTGACATATTTTGCCAGTCCGCGTGGCGCCACCTCATTTAAAACTATCTAAAAAAAAGTTTTAAAAAAGTTAAATAAGCCATTAATTACATGACTTTGGTAATAAACATATAAATGTATCCATTAAACAAATTAGTTAAATAATTTATAGTCGGTTAAGTGTCTGAAAGGGATTTTCAAAAATAAATAATTGTGAAAAAAAAAACCAGTTTTAATATTTAAACTCATTAAACATTTAATGAGTTTTGTATTTCTGGATCTGGTGATATTTTAATTGAAATTATAAACTATCACCAGGGGCAATATGACAGGATAGAATTAATATATAGAAATTTGGACGTTTAATAACGTAAATGAATTTGGAAAACATATATAAAATAAATAGCATATGAGTATTTTTTTATGTTTCAGATATTAGAAAATTAAACAATAAGTGAAAATCATTCATAAAATGTTGACTTTTTCAGATTATTATGTACTTTATTTTTATTATTAGTATTATTACTTTTAATTTTTTTAAATTCACTTATTGTTAAATATAATAAAAAGTGTTTCAACTTGTTTTATTATTGTTATTTCAAAGTTCTCTGGTATATTACATCAATCTCCAGGGAGTCTTGTGATATTCAGGCAATAATTTAAATAAAATTGCAATAAATATGTGAAATAGAGCAACAATTAGATTAATATGTAAATCCTTTATTTAATACACAATATCAATAATAATAATACTTTAAAAAAAACAAAACTCATATGTCTGAAAATGTAACTTGATGATTTTAAAAAATTAACAAGAATTTAATTTAAACCTTCAGTCTGTTTGAACATCCTATGGTTTCGCTCATTGAATTTAATGGCTAATTTTTGAATAACGTTACATGAATAGTGTTCATATAAGGAACACTATTTTGAATGAATTATAAATGTCCTATTTAGGTTTTTATGTAAGTCTCTAATGAAAAATTTAAATAATTGAAAAAATCACATGGAGCTTAAGTAAACACACGTTTAAAAACAAACACCTACTGTGGATTCTTTTCAAATGTTACTGTTATTTGAAAGAAAACATGATTATTCAGAAGGCTGTATAACTTAAAAAGCGGTTTAATCTTCCCCAGGCCAGTCGTCCAGCTTTGACAGTGAAACTTGATGTGCCTGTGAATCTGAAGCGTTGTGATCATGACATCCTCTGGTGCCTCGGCCGTTGTGCCTCCATGTTTCCACTACGAAACCAAATACATTGTGCTGCACTTCCTGAGAAAGCTGCCTGTCCGCAGATCACGGACTCCGACCACAGAGCTAGGTGAGGGAAACGCTTGTGACGCTTTTCTTAGTAAATGAGTAATTTACTGATTATTCCGACGAACAGAATGAAAAATAGCCTTGCCTGTTCTGTAGTAGTGGCTTAAGTTAGCAGAAGAAATATTTAAAACATAAAATGCTGTCAAAAAGCAAATCAGCCTTATTGTTGTGTTTTTACATAAAAAATTATTCTGCTGTGTAAAATGCAAAATGATTCAAACGTTACTTTAAGTCTCAAGTTTGAAGTAAAAAAATCTTTTTGTGGTAGACTATCTTCCGCTGCTATTAGCTAAGCTAACACAGCAGTGGTTGATTGCCTAATTTAAGCCCCTGCCCTCCTGATGATCCGTCAGAGTTGGTTGGCTTATTATAATTTTTTTTAACTGAACCAAAACACACTAAATTCTGCAGCACATATACTTGTTAAGGTTCTCATAGTCAAGCTAGCATAACTTACCTACTGCCCTCTCTTTCAATAAAGTTTAAATTTTTTTAATTAAAACTTTGTCCTGACCTTGTTGTCTAGTTTTTGTAATGCTGGCTATTAATCGCAAAGCATCGCATCCCTTTTTCTTCTAGATATCACGCATACATTTAAGATCTAGCTCATTATGTTGGCAACTTCAGCGCTAAAACCAATGCTAGTCATTGTAGCAGAGCAGTTTTTGCCTCTAGCAGGAAGCAGGGGGGCAAGATCCTGTGTGTGACGTCACACTGCAACGTGTCCGTATGCCGACCCAAACCAATATTGGGCCAGATCAGACTAATGGTGCTTAGCATTCATCAACTGTGAGAAATTTCAATTGCAGAGCGATTTGCTGAATCATTGCAGCCCTGGTGCATGCTCATGTCGCAGCAACTCAAAGTATTTTGGGTTGTTGGGCGTGTAGCCACCTGTTCTCCAGCCCTGAATGTCTGCATTCAGATGTCTGAATGCAGACATCTGAAAGCTCTCTGGCTTTCAGATGTCTGCATTCAGACATCTGAATCCACCTTCATCTGAGACACTTTCAACTCATCTGTATTCTCATATCTGTCCAGATTGACAGAAACGTCTGCTTTATTTATTGAAATCTTACTTTGGGAATACAGGAGTTATTTCCCCACATTCCTGCATATTTGAACCCAAATCCTTAATTTCCCGCTGATGTTCTGGTTCTGGTGCTTCTCCACATTAAACAGCAGTGAAAGAAACACAAACAGCTGCTTCTATTTTGCTTTATGTTCATAAATCGAGCAGAAGAGAGGCGGTATTGAGTTGCAGAATGTTTGAAAACTTCCAAATGACCGACTGATCCCTGCTTTCCACTCGACCCGGTCCAGTTTGTGACAGCCTGTCATGAGCAATTATCGTAGGATTACTCTCACACCAGTAGACGGGCGGACAGAGCGGTCTGACCGGCTGCCTGCTGAGGCAGCAGAGCAGCCCGGCCCCGAGTCTCTGGGCTGAACGGGACAAAGGGGAAATAAGGGAGGCAGATTTTTTTTGTCTTCAGTTTTTATTTTAATTGGTTGCTATTGTCCTTTTGTGTTGGTGGTTCTGATTGGGTCTGTTTATAAAGTTTTGTTCATGTTTTGGTTTAACTGTTGCTGTTTGGACAGTTAATATTGGGAAGAATATTTTTCACTTACTTTTTACTTTCACATAGTGTTACTATGGCAACAAATTGTTATTTCTACACTTAGGAACATCTGATTAGCATCTCAAACGCTCAGTTAATATCTGAACTTTGACCCCAAATCCCAGAGGACTTTCAAAGATGACCACAGAAAGAAAGAATGAGGAAGTTCAAACCATCTCTTCAAGTCTAACAACATAAATAGGATATTTAAAGGAGTGGCAAAAGCAAAGGAGGTGGATCAGCAGAGCTAGTCTATAACAATCATAGTGTTATTCAGGATGTGCTACCAGCTGCAAATGACCAGAAAACGTTGTCAATATTCTGCTAATGTCAAAAGAACACCATTTTACAATGGTGACGTTTCCATTAAAAACGAAACAAAATTAAAATCCCTCGTTAAAAAGTCATTAAGCTGCTTCCTGTTGTCTTCTTCTTCATGGTTTCCCCCAGTAGCAACATCTGGTAGTTGATCATGTGACTCGCGTAACGTGGTTTGTCTCGAGGAGATGAAAAGATGGACTTGAAAAGTTAGTTCCATTTTCTCTAAAGTACTAAGGTAAAGGGCTGTACCAACATGGCATTTAGTGGAAGCTAATGCTGAAGCTCCAACCTCTTGCTTCATAAAGTTTCTGTAAAAAAAGAGGAAATAGAACAGGTGTGCAAACAAATGTCAAAATAAGAGCATGAATATAAACTTCGAAGTGACAGGTGTCAAACTCCGGTCCTCCGGGCCGCTGGCCGTCCTGCAGGTTTCATATGAGCCACAGGTCCAAAACACTGGACTGAAAAGGCTTCATCACCTCCAGCGTGGTTCGGTTCTCCAGAACCTTCATGACCTAATTATTCTGTTCAGGTGCTGCAGCAGAGGCTCATCTAGAAGTTGTTCTAACTACTTGACAAATTATTAAGTCAATAACCAAAACTTCCACAGACATCAAATTTCATCCAAAACAAATAATTTAGGCAAAACTAAGTGCGCTAAAAGTTTTAAAGATTATTAGCGCATTATCTGCCCTGCTGGTGTGAAACCTCCACGCCTCGCATGGTTGGTTAGACCTCTGCTATTCGCCTAGAATAATTTACTTCCACATGAGCTGCGCTCTAAAGTCATTCTGACGGGTTTTCCTCTGTGTTTTATTAGGAGTCAGCAGCTGCCTGTCCAGGTTCTCCTGCCTACAGAGAGTAAAGTGTAAAATAAGGCTGCAGCCATCAGGGGCTTTTGCAAAGGATTCGTCTCTGTTTAAACTTTAAACAGGGACGAATCTCAGTAAAAGTATTGATTATAATATGAGGATAAACTAGTTTATTTATCAGGCAAGGTAATGGAGCAGAAACAAGGATTAAGAGGATTATTAACACTGACCGAACCCGCTCTTTAATATTCAGATAAATGCAGGATAATATTTGAGTTGGTAGATACAGATTTAAAGCTGGTCCAGGTCTGATGTGTTAAGGAGACGCCCAGGAGGAGTGGGAGAGAAGCAGACGAATGAAACAGCAAATCGACGAGGAGCTGAAGCAGCTGGAGCAGGAAGTCAATGACAGTAAGTTTCTACTGCCTGAGTGAATTAGGCCCCGCCCCTTTCACTGGCCCCGCCCTTTCAATGGCCCCGCCTCCATCCCTGACCCCATCACTGGCCCCGCCCCCTCCTCCAACAGATTACATGAAGTTGGTGTCGAACGTTTGTTCGACGCTTGTGCAGCAAAAGTTTTGTTTTCTGCTCATTTGGAAGATGTGAACAAATGTTTCCAGAGGTCATCCAAGGTCAACCAGCCAGTCCAGATTTACAAAGTCAGATTGAATACGGTGTCGATCAGCTGTGCTGGTTTGTGCAAGGACAAGTTTTGTTTGTCGTTTTTAAGCTTTTTTAAAAATACAAGTTAAACAGATCAACTTGGCTCTCCACATTAACTAAATTAATTGCTATGTTTGCGCAGCTAAACTTGTTTTTTTGTTTTTTGTAGTTGTGGGTGCAGGTGACTGGTTGACCTTTGACATGTAAATTCATCTAAACATTTATTAATATTGAAACATTTTGCACCAATTTAGTGTTTAGGAAACTTCTCTCTGGTGTTTTCAGTCTGAAAGCTTGTCTGATGTGTTGAGTAACTAATTTAAAGTTTTTATTTTTCCTTAATTAACCTAATTTCTGATCAAAGTTTCCAGTTCTGCGGCTTTTTCTTCTCGTTTTCATGGCATCTTCCTCCTGTTTTCAGCGTTTTCTGAGTCGGACTTCGACCTGCGCCAGTCGGTGGTGTTCTGCCCGCCGAACCCGGACAACTCCGTGGAGGAGTGCCTCGCCGCCATTGGGCACAGCGTGTCCCGAGAGCTCGGTCCGCAGCTCTCCGCCGCCGTGGAGAAACTCCTGTCAGGGTGAGCAGAGCTGTGGAAATATTTACCAAAGAGTTTCACACAGTGAGCTTTCGCTATCGCTCCATCCTGCTGCAGATAGTCGCTCAACTCGCAGCAAGACGTGATCTGCACAAAGGCTCTCGCTCGGCTTGTTGACATTTCTCAGTATTCTTTATGTGAGCATTTATGAGGTCAGACGCTGATGTTGGACAAGAATGCAGCAACAATTATTTTAGTAATCAAGTATTCTGGTGGCCCTACGACAGACTGGCGACCTGTCCAGGTGACCCCACCTCTCACCTGAAACGATGGATGGATGGATGGATGGATGGAGGATGGATGGATGGATGGATGGAGGATGGATGGATGGATGGATGGATGGATGGATGGATGGATGGATGGATGGATGGATGGATGATGGATGGATAGATGGATGGATGGATGATGGATGGATGGATGGATGGATGGATGGAGGATGGATGGATGGATGGATGGATAATGGATGGATGGATGGATGGATGGATGGAGGATGGATGGATGGATGATGGATGGATGGATGGATGGATGGATGGAGGATGGATGGATGGATGATGGATGGATGGATGGATGGATGGATGGATGGATGATGGATGGATGGATGGATGGATGGATGGATGATGGATGGATGGATGGATGGATGGATGGATAATGGATGGATGGATGGATGGATGGATAATGGATGGATGGATGGATGGATGGATGATGGATGGATGGATAATGGATGGATGGATGATGGATGGATGGATAATGGATGGATGGATGGATGATGGATGGATGGATGGATGGATGATGGATGGATGGATGATGGATGGATGGATGGATGATGGATGGATGATGGATGGATGGATGATGGATGGATGATGGATGGATGATGGATGGATGGATGGATGATGGATGGATGATGGATGGATGGATGATGGATGGATGGATGGATGATGGATGATGGATGGATGATGGATGATGGATGGATGGATGGATGATGGATGGATGGATGGATGATGGATGGATGATGGATGGATGGATGATGGATAGATGGATGATGGATGGATGGATGGATGGATGGATGGATGGATGGATGATGGATGGATGGATGGATGATGGATAGATGGATGATGGATGGATGGATGGATGATGGATGGATGATGGATGGATGGATGGATGGATGGAGTATTATATTGCTTATTCTGACAATTAATTGGATAAAAATATTGTACGGATTTTTCATTTAACCCCTTAAACATTTTTAGAAGTCCATTAATGTTCCAAATAATAATTCAGTTTCTTTTTTAATGAAGAAAATAAACATTTTGTTGTAATAACATCATTCATGTAGTGAATTTAAACTGAGTGAAGCTTAAACTGCCAGTTAAGGAGTTTAAAGAAATTGTTTTTATTGATATTTTATTTAATTTGTTTCAGTCAGGTTTACAAAAACAAGAAAATAACCAATAACAGAATAATTAGCTTTCCACTACTTTTCTGTTTCAAATGGAGGCGGAATCAATGAGCACTTATTTAATCCACTTCCTGTTGTCAAAGGGTTTTAGTCTAAGTAGAAAGTTTTATGTATTGTACAGCTTTGGCTAAATTATTGCTCTCAACATGTTGTGTTTTTTCAGCAAATTGCCATTTTTTGAGTGTGTATTCTCCAGTTAATGATTAATTGCTTACAAAATTATTTCATAATGATGATTATTTCAGTAATCGATTAATCACAATTAATCTGATGAATCACAATTAATCTGATTAATCGTTTCAGCACTACTTCTTTTCTTTGCGGCCAGATTTCAGTGACAGTGCTGTTTGGTGTTTGTAAAGCTGAATGTTTGCGTGTTTCAGGCCTCTGGACGACCAGAGATTTCAGAGCACAGCTCTGGATCTGGCCAGACTCACTGAATCGTGCTGGAACAAGGTGAGCCAGTGGCTTCTTCCTGTCGTCATGTGACGCAGCCTCCTCACGTTATTGGCTGTGTCTGACAGGTGTTGGTGCCGCTGCTGCTGCTGCGGGCCCTGCAGTATGAAGGGAAGCCTCTGAAGACGCTGCTGCAGCTGGGGCTGCACTGCCTGCAGGACGACGAGGCGCAGTTCATCATCCAGCAGGGAGGATGGGTGAGTGTTCGATCGCAGAGGGGAAAACTTCTGCAAACTGTCCCACAGGGATTCCCGTAGCCTGGGTTTGTGTTGCATTATGGGATGGGGTAGAGGAAATGAACTAAGAAGAGATGGCGGCGAGTCGTTTTCGTAAAGCGTTAAACTTTGAGGACGTCTCCTCGGATGTTACCAGAAATAAAATCCAGATGTTTGACTGATTTTAAAGTCAGAAGATGGAAATTTGTTCTTCAAAAACAACTTCAGTTCACAGTAGGAGAAGAGTTGTGACCTTTAATCTCTGTCATCTGAGACTGAAAACATGGAAACGGGACTTTCTGCACGTTTACATTCAGATCGACATGCAGTTGCTAAATTAGCCACCGGAGAGCAGCAGTGAGTCACCTGCTGTTGGCTTAAAATGCTAAAACAGGTTTTTATGTTTTCTGTATATTCTCTTCAAAATATAGAAAGGTCCAACCTTTAATTTGTGATTTTAGAATTATTGAGAGCCTCTACAAACCATTGGCTCAATCAAATTTGATTAATAAAATGAGCTGCAATAACTGAAATGTTAACTTTCTGAGGCTCAAATTATTGCTTTGGAGTCTTAAAATAATGAAATAATGTCCAGGTTCAGTTTATTAACTCAACTGAAAACAATCTGTCTGAGTGTAGTCAATGCTGCTATAGGAAATCAATCAATCAATCAATCAATCAATCAATCAATCAATCAATCAATCAATCAATCAATCAATCAATCAATCAATCAATCAATCAATCAATCAATCAATCACTCAGGAGACCTGGAACAGTTTAACTTAATGTACTTATCACTAAAGAAAGTTAAATAAATGTTTGTATGTTTTTAATAACATCGGATTCAAATTATTAGATTCCCCAAAGTATTTATTTGACTTTTTAATAGAGTTAATTTTAAGGTCTGTAATTAATGAGTCACATTTCGATGGATAAATCAACAAGATGAGCAACAGTTTCAATTCAGAACCATTATTGCTGCTAAATTATAGAACAAAAATCCAAATAGGATCCGTTTCTCCCGTCATTCACAGGAACGGGCAGCGCTGGTCCAGATGAAGATGAACCTGAAGATTTACCACAATATTTTGTGGGACTATTGTGAAAACAAGAAAACTGATTAATCTCTGCATTTTTAGACAACTTATTGCTGTGACAGCAGCAACTTATTGCTGTGACAGCAGCAACTTATTGCTGTGACAGCAGCAACTTATTGCTGTGACAGCAGCAACTTATTGCATGACTCCAACAAATCCTGCCAGTCACATAAAGACGTTTGATTTGTTTCACTTCATTTAATCCGTGTTAAATGTGACAGCTATTGATTTAAAAAGTCTAATTAGCAATCCCTGAAATATGGACAGTTTTTTAAACATAATTAATTGTGATAACAATCACTCAAACTTCTATAAATTATAAACGATACAGTAGAGACCCACAGAAGGTGGTTCCTTGTTGAAGTAAGATTTGGAAGACGTTTTATTTGTTTTAGAGGCTGCAGTCATTTAAAAATCAGACTGACTGGTCGTCATCGATGGCGAACGCTCCAGGTCTCGTATCGACGCGTCGTTTCAGCGTTTGCTTTGGAGAAGTGAGGGGAGCGCTGCTGGCTGTAAACGAGGTCACTGATGAGGAGCCACGTGACTCGGCACGTTATCGCCGCTCCATTACTGCAGACAAAGCTGCATTCTCCCACAACGCCGCGTCACAGCTGAACAGATGACGGGATGGCTGATGAAGGGATGAAGAGGAGAGAGGCGGGGAGGGGAGGGCCGGCCGAGCGACAGCAGCCAGTGGGAGCAAAGTTGCATCTCTTCCACTTTGACGGCTGCATGCTGGCGCCCGACTCACGAACTGCGACCTGAGCTCTGTCTTGTGGCTCCTGTCCGGCTGGATCTCCACAGATTTGTGCGCTGAGGTGCGATTCGGCGCCGCAGGATTTTACGTCGAGGTGAGACGTTTTCCTGTGGAGCGACAAAAACCCAAACTCATTTCCAGGTGCTGAGAAGGTCTCCTCTTCCTGGCAACATGGCCGCTGCCGCCTCCTGTGGTTCTTCAGGCTTCTTTATAGGGATGAAACTAACGATTGTTTTTGTAATCGATTCATCTGACAATTAATTAATTGCATAAAAATAGTTGCATTCTACAGATTTTCCATTGAACTATTTAAGCCTTTCTAGTACAATGTTAGAAATGAGTATATATAAAAAATCTAATATGCAAATCATAATTTAGGAGTTTTGGCTAAAACATATTGCAGACAAATGTTTTATCTCAAATGGCCTTTTCCTTTAGTTAATCAGTTACTAAATTAGATGTCAATTATGTCAATAATCGATTAATCATAATCGTTTCAGCCCGACTTTGTTTCTCTGTATCGTATTTCTTTTTCGTACTCCAGATCATGTATTTTGTCTGCCAGGCCGTTGTTAACGTCTCTGAGATGAAACCGGAGCAGGATGCTGGGTTTTGACTGTTGGAGCAGAAAACAATGAGGTTCATTATGAGCCTAATGTGGTTCACAGTCGGTTTGGCAGGAACAAAGCCCGGGTCGGGTTCTGCAGGTCTGGCAGCGCAAAGAACCAGCCGGCCGTCCTTCTCCTTCTGGAAACTGCTGATCTCAAAGTTGACGTCAGCCATTTTCTCCTGTGGTTTGAGTCGTTGAATCCTGGAGGATGAAGGTGAAACGCTGTGAACCCGACAGCTGATAGTCAAAGCAGGATATCTGGGAACATGCAAAACATTTCTGATGCCGCAGCAGCTTCGTGCTGCAGCAGCCTTGCGTTGCAGCAGCTTCGCGCCGCAGCCTCACGCCGCAGCCAGCTCCCGGACTTACGTAAGCGATTCGCTCACCGGCTCCAGGGTGGAACACGTTCATCACGACCCGTCTCCGTGGTTCTGGATCAGCAGCAGAACACAATTTCTGTTCTTTTATGTGATTTAAAAATCTACTTTTTAAATAAGAAAATTGGGACTAGAACTAACGATTATTTTAATAATTGACTATATTGGTGATTAATCGATTAATCAGATAAAAAACACTTTGCCTTTTATGTACAATATTAGTAAGACATTTTAAAATGCAAATAATCAAATTCTTTTCTAATAGAATTAGAAAATGATCATTATATTGCCAAGAATGTGAAAATCTCCATCTTTTCTGCTGGACTGAATATCAGTACAGCGTAGGGATGACCTGCTGATTATTGATCAATAATCAAACGGTGACTAATTTTTCCAGAATCTGAACCAGGCGAAGCTAAAACTGCACAGCAGGAGATCTGGGTAGAAGAGATTTAAGAAGATTTTTAAATATTAATGCAATTTTTTGTGTGCAGTCTTGGCTAAATTACTGCAGTGGACATGTTGTTTTTCCAAAAAACGGCTTTTTTTAGAGTCTGTACCGCAGTTATTAATTAATTACTAAATTAGAGGCCAATTATTTCAATAATCAATCGTTTGAGCTCTACTCTGCACATATGCAGCCACTTTCTCGCTGTGTTTAGCGACTTTTCTAACCAAATAAATCTGAATCATTTTCAGAACTTATTTGCTCCTGGTGCCAAGATGGTGAACTTATTGATGCGACCCAATCAACTGGAGCCGAATTAGTCAATAAATGTTGATTATGTGCATCTCTGAGAACTGCAGTCTCCAAACGATGCTAACATGTTTTGTTTAGATGAGTTCAGGGATTTAGTTTGGTAAGTTCCTCGGTGTGTCGCCCTGCCTGTGCTGATCTCAGGTCAGATTAGAATTTCAGTGAGAGTGAAAAACAGAGGCGGCTCTGGCTCCGACCCAGGAATCTGCCGTCTGGGTTTGTCTTCAGGCGAGGGCGGAGATCTGCGTCTGGCAACGAAGCCCAGCGTAGGTTAATGTTTGGCAGCTGCAGCACAGTTCAAGGTCAGCAACGCGCAAATCTGCACGACCGACCTGAAGGTTAGCTGGGATAAAACGGTAAAGCTTCATGTTTGAAATGTTTCATCTGTGGCTCATAGTGACTTGCTGTTGTTAAACTGCCTTTAAATGTCTGTTAATGTGGGTGAAAAGCAGCTGATTGGTGTTGGAAGGCCATTCTGGAGGATTTTGGAAAGTGCTCCTGCTGTTCCACATGTAAAGCAGCTTAGGGAGAATACGGATGTTGGATAATTCTGGAGCGTTCCCAGATTTAATCTCTCTGCTCTCACCAGCTGACATGCAGAGAATAACCTTCAGTTATTTTCTTTTTGTAAGTTCTGGATATTCTTTGGTTGAAAATGAGTGAATCGCTCTTCTGTCAGACGCTTTCTGTCTGCTGTGTTGTCAAACCGTTCGCCCTTCCTGTCAGTCAAACGACTGACACTGCCGGTTAAATCCTGTTTACCATCCAAAGCTTGTTCCAGGTTATAATCTGAATTATGGACCAGAAAATCATGAAAATATTCACAACCCCACAACTAATCAAAGACTAGATGATATAAATTATGAGAACAATGAATTTAACTTTGAGCTAAATAAAGTATTTTTGAATTGAACTACCGAACTATTTATATGAAGATCATGGTGGAAATAACCGGCGTCTGAAATGAACATGTTAACCAGACTGGAGCTCCTCTGGTTGCATCACAGGCTGAATGATTTCTGTCCTGGACCTTCTCCTCTTCTGGGTATTGCTAACTAAAAGGTTAGCTGTGATAAAGATGAAGAACTAATCATAAACATCGGCCGCGCTAAAGCACTAAAAAACAAACATTACATGTGCTAAAGCACTAAAAAAAAACAAACATTAGATGTGCTAAAGCACTAAAAAACATTAGCTGTACTAAAGCACTAAAAAACAAACATTAGATGTGCTAAAGCACTACAAAAACAAACATTAGATGTGCTAAAGCACTAAAAAACAAACATTAGCTGTGCTAAAACACTAAAAAACACATTAGCTGTGCTAAAGCACTAAAAAACAAACATTAGTTGTGCTAAAGCACTAAAAAACAAACAGCAGCTGTGCTAAAGCACTAAAAAACAAACATTAGCTGTGCTAAAGCACTAAAAACACATTAGCTGTGCTAAAGCACTAAAAAACAAACAGCAGCTGTGCTAAAGCACTAAAAAAACAAACATTAGATGTGCTAAAGCACTAAAAAAACAAACATTTGATGTGCTACAGCACTAGAAAACAAACATTAGATGTGCTAAAGCACTAAAAAACATTAGCTGTACTAAAGCACAACAAACAAACATTACATGTGCTAAAGCACTAAAAAAACAAACATTAGATGTGCTAAAGCACTAAAAAAACAAACATTAGATGTGCTAAAGCACTAAAGAACAAACATTAGCTGTGCTAAAGCACTAAAAACACATTAGTTGTGCTAAAGCACTAAAAAACAAACATTAGTTGTGCTAAAGCACTAAAAAACAAACAGCAGCTGTGCTAAAGCACTAAAAAAACAAACATTAGATGTGCTAAAGCACTAAAAAAACAAACATTAGATGTGCTAAAGCACTAGAAAACAAACATTAGATGTGCTAAAGCACTAAAAAACATTAGCTGTACTAAAGCACAAAAACAAACATTAGATGTGCTAAAGCACTAAAAAACAAACATTAGATGTGCTAAAGCACTAAAAAACAAACATTAGTTGTGCTAAAGCACTAAAAAACAAACAGCAGCTGTGCTAAAGCACTAAAAAACAAACATTTGATGTGCTAAAGCACTAGAAAACAAACATTAGATGTGCTAAAGCACTAAAAAACATTAGCTGTACTAAAGCACAAAAACAAACATTAGATGTGCTAAAGCACTAAAAAACAAACATTATCTGTGCTATAGCACTAAAAAACAAACATTAGCTGTGTTAAAGCACTAAAAAACAAACATTAGTTGTGCTAAAGCACTAAAAAACAAACAGCAGCTGTGCTAAAGCACTAAAAACAAACATTAGCTGTGCTAAAGCACTAAAAAACATTTGATGTGCTAAAGCACTTGAAAACAAACATTAGATGTGCTAAAGCACTAAAAAACATTAGCTGTACTAAAGCACAAAAACAAACATTAGATGTGCTAAAGCACTAAAAAACAAACATTATCTGTGCTAAAGCACTAAAAAACAAACATTAGCTGTGCTAAAGCACTAAAAAACAAACATTAGTTGTGCTAAAGCACTAAAAAACAAACAGCAGCTGTGCTAAAGCACTAAAAACAAACATTAGCTGTGCTAAAGCACTAAAAGACAAACAGCAGCTGTGCTAAAGCACTAAAAACAAACATTAGTTGTGCTAAAGCACTAAAAAACAAACAGCAGCTGTGCTTAAGCACTTAAAACAAACATTAGCTGTGCTAAAGCACTAAAAGACAAACAGCAGCTGTGCTTAAGCACTAAAAACAAACATTAGCTGTGCTAAAGCACTAAAAGACAAACAGCAGCTGTGCTAAAGCACTAAAAACAAACATTAGTTGTGCTAAAGCACTAAAAAACAAACAGCAGCTGTGCTTAAGCACTAAAAACAAACATTAGCTGTGCTAAAGCACTAAAAGACAAACAGCAGCTGTGCTAAAGCACTAAAAAACAAACATTAGCTGTGCTAAAGGTAAAGCACTAAATGATCAGGGACAGGAACAACCACGCAGAACAAATTTGTATTTCAAACCGAATCAAACTGGATTGGGAATCAGAACCTACAGTGTGAACGCAGCCATTATTTTTCTGCTTCTGATGTGTGTCCGCCATCTTGTCTGCCTGGTTCTGTCGCAGGGTAAAGTTCTGAGCTTGGTGCAGAACGAGGACGAGGAGCCCGCGGCGGCCGTCGCCGACGACAGCAACGACATCTACATCCTGCCAGAGGAGCAGCAGCCCGGCACGCTCAGCACCGGCGACAGCGGCGAGCCCAGCTCCTGGCAGACGGACGTCCTGCCGGCGTCCCTGGGCGGCCACGAGTCGTGGGCGCAGGTCGACCTGATGGACCCCGAAGACGTGAAGGACCTTCACGGCGGCGAGGGCGTGGCGCTGTCCGAGGAGCGCAGCGAGAACAACTCCTCCAACTCCGACATCGTCCATGTGGAGCGGGAGGAGGCGGAACTCATGGAGGAGGACGGCGACGGCGACACCATGGAGAACACGATGAGCCTGCTGATGTCCGAGAGCGACCTGGTGGCGCTGCGGGTCGAGCTCGGAGACCCGGTTCTGCATGCACAGCCGCCATTGTCCCTGGTGCTTCCCGAGGAGCCCGTCGCCATGGAGACGCCTAAGAGTTTGTCCCCAGCAGCAGAAGCCCCGCCTCCTGCTGCTGGGGTAGAACCCGACCCGGAACCCGAACCCGAACCTCAACCCGAACCTCAACCCGCCCCAGTGCCTGTCGAGGTGGAAGCCACGACTCAAGCTGAGGAAGTCTCACCAGAACCAGCAGAACCTGAAACCCGGCCAGAACCAGTGTCCATCCCCAAACAGAACACTGAGCCTGAACCAGAACCGGAACCAGATTCTTCTGAGCCCCCTGCGCCAGAGGTCCTGGCTGAAAAAGTTCCGGTTCTGGAGGTTCCGAAAGAGTCGCCCCAGACCCCAGCGACACCAGAACCAGAATCGGAGGAAGAGTTCCCGGTTCTGCTGTATGGCGCAGCGGTTCTGGTTCTGGTCGCCGCAGTGACCTTCAGCCTGATTCTGTGCAGGAGGAGGAGGTAGAAATTAATTTAAATAAATGTCCTATTCTTGATGTAAAAGCTCCTTAGTGCCGGGTTTCTCTGGTCGGCCCGGTCCAAAAGAACCGGGCCCTGAAGCAGGATCATCTCCTCCTCACTCTGTCTTCTGCACGTTTCTGTCTCACCTTTTATGGTTTTCTAACTTTTCCAGAAGCAAAAGAGATTTAGATTTTTTTGAAAAATGAATATTAATGAAATATTTTATTTTCTGTGAATCCAGGCAGGAAGTTCTGGTACAAAAATCATCTGTTGCACATTTTACTGCACATGCAACAAGGTTTTTGTCTTTTGTGAATAAAATATTTTTCCCCCAGAGACGAGTGGAAATATTTAAATATGAAGGTTTAATGCTGCTGTAAAACAGGAGCTAAAGGCAGAAATACGGAAGACAATTCCTGCCTTGAAAGAAGAAAATCAAACAGGAAGTCATAATTACAAGTTGCAACTTTGAGATTTTTTGATAAAACAAATTTAAAGTAATTTGTAGAAAAATAAGGTATAATTTTGAGTTTTAAAGGATAAGTTTACAAGAATTTAACATATTTGAGTTTGTTATGTATAGTAATTTTTTTTGATAACTTGTGCATATAAATGGTTACAAGGATAAGTTTTTGTAATTTTGAATTTTAAAGTAAGTTGTAATTACGAGGAAACGCTGCCAGCGTGGGGCCTAAATTATGGGATATGTTGTTACCATGGTGATTAAAGCAGTCCTGCTTGCAAATGAAAGCAACCTTCATTGTGGATCTCAAACATTTTTAAAGATGTGATTAATCTGTAAAACTCCCAGAGTTGCAACAATCTGTTACAAAACCGTCTTCCATGCAGACGTAAAGTAAAACCAAAAGTCTGAGCTGGAAACTTTTATCTTCTGCTAAAAACAAAAACTATGAAAGCGTCCAGTCAGAAGTTGATCTCCAGCAGTTTATTATTACATTAATTAAAAAATATGAACTCAATGCCGACGAGCGCTGAAATTAATGTTCAGTTCTGGGTGAACCAGCCCTGATGCACAGACAAAAACAGTTTGATCATTTAATTCAAGTACAGAGTATAAATTTGCATGCATATTTGATGCCTGCTTTAGTAAACAGAAACATGTAAACCATGAAACAAATTCAAGTGCTGACTTTCAGTTCCTTCTTTTTATGAATAATTCTGCAGTTTAATCCATCAGTAACGTTTCTACAGCACAGCTGGGCCGAGGGGCGGGGCCACATCCTTCAGTCACTTCCTGTGCCGCAGGAAAACTCATCTGGTCCACCGATGGCAGATGAACCGAACGGCCGTGTCGAAGAGGCCCTTCAGCAGCCGCGGAGCCTGGATGCAAACGCCCTTCACTAGGGTCAAGGTCAGGGCCACGACGACCTGCTCCTGGGGCAAATCCTTCAGAGAAAACTCCCTGAGCAGCCGCTCCACCTCGTTCACAAGATGGTTCCCCAGCTGATGGGCAGCAGACCAACAGAACCGGTCAGAACAGCAAATCAGTGACAAACAAGCAATTATTCACAATCAATGAGTGAAACGATCAGCATCTGATTTGGTAATCGATTCATTGTTAGCAGGAGACATCCTGACTGGAAAAAAGGAAATGTGCTGCGAGAACATCACTGAGCAGATCTTAAGACAAAAATATCGACATTTTTCAGTTAAAGGGACAGTAATATGTGTTTTCCAGGCACATGGTGCCATTTTATTTATATTTTCTTATTTTAAAAAGGACTTATTTGAATCTTTTATATATTTCTAAAATTGTATAAAAAGGCTCAAGTGATTCAATAAACAATCTGCAGAAGGTGCCAATTCTTAAATCTGATTAATCGTCAGAATAATTGATTAATCAACTAAAATAATTGTTAGCTGCAGCCCCGTAAGGAACAGAATTCCAGATTTCTATGAGTTTTGATTTGAAACCTGCTAGTTCTGATCTTTGCAGCGGTGGGTGCAGCGCTCACCTCAGAAGGCGACTCTGAGACGTTCCTGGCCAGGTTCTGCGCCGCCCGCGCCACCACCTGCAGCTCGAACTGGGCCGCGATCTCTCTCAGCTCCTGAGCAACGGCCTGGATGTTGACTTCCTGCTGGCCTCCTGCAGAAACAGATAAGAGTCAAGGCATCAGCGCCGTCACTTCCCCCCACAAACTGCTGAACGGGCTGGACTCTTAACGGAGCTCAAACACCCATCAGGGCTGGGTCGTCCGTCTGCATCACCGTTTTCTGCAGGATCTTTACTAAACTCTCAGGTTTCCTGCCATTTTTGACACCATGTTGATAAAAGCAAAGCTGAGAGGCATTCAGAACGTCTCCCAGACGCTGGATTTCACTAACATGGGGAATTTGGAGGCTAGGAGATGAAGTCAGACTGATCATTGTGCTCCTCAAACTATCTGAAATTTTTATTTCCTTCCTTGTTGACACTTGGGCAATCTGTCCAACTAATATAATAAACTCATAGAGCAACTAGGAGGCAAAAGACAGTACAGCATATTTTTGTAAAATTGGATTTTTTCCTCCGGTCTCTGCAGATCAGAGTGATGTCATCACCCAGGGCAGCCATTTTGTTTGTCAACCGTGTTTAAGACTTTAAAATGTCAACTCTACGATAAAGTAAACTTATGTATTTTTTAACTACCAGAATATAATCATATTAGGAGAATGAAGTCGTAATTTTATGAGAACTCCAACATGAACCCCCCCCGAAAATCTAAAATGTGGATGTTGAGAATCGTAAGAAGATAATACTTACATAGATAATAATGTATTTTGAAGAAAGACACATGAACCAGGCTGGTCATATCAGAACTTTAAAAATCCATTAAAGTTTTTTTTCTTCTCAAGAAAAAAATGCTCTCATAATTTTAAAAAGTTTTCTGGAAAAAAATAATGCATCTGGCCAATTTTACTACTTTATTCTCTAATTTAAAAAAATAACTTGTAGCTTCACTCTAATACTTCAAATTCAGAGTGTGGTAGATTTTTCTCTTTAAAATACCTATTTGACAATATTTTCTGTCATTTGTGATTCCTTCCACATGCCCAGTATGTTAACATAATTGTTAGTGGTCATAATGTTCTGCCTGATCAGAGGTCGTTCTTACATCACATGAACAAAACAGGTTTAGATGTAGAACTGAAGGGGAAGTCTAAAACTCCCAACAGTATCAGTGTTGTCTGTTTTTACTTTCAGTTTCCTGGTTTGTTGTTGTTACTGAAAATAACAGATCAGCTGTGATTCAGTGGAAACCAGCCAGCAGGGGTGCTTCTACACGGGGGCCAGTGCCCTTTTCTTATGAGATAATACTAAAGAAATGTTTTATGATGATATTAAATGACAGCTAATTGCTCCTCTTTACTAATGTATTTTTTCCCTCACAAATTTTTGTTAAATAAAAACTGAGGTTCTGCAGTTTTAGCTTTGTTGAGACAAGATCACTTTCCATTTCCTAGATCTGCAGCTCCAGGGGAAACATTAACATCTGGAGGGTAATATATCCTCTGGGGGAAATATTATCTTGTTATTCATTTAACAAGATAACATGACACAGCAGCAGGCCCCAACCTGGCACCCCTGGTAAATCTGGTCTAGATCCGCCTCTGCTCCACTGTCTATAGATCATCAGTATGGAAACCAGCTTTGGCTATGAAAATTAAAGTCATCCTCCAGATTTTTGTCGCTACTGTGTGTAAAGTTTGACGCCCAGGCCTCCCAGGGGGGACAGAGCTACTGACCCGGCCGAGGCAGCTCCACCAGCGGCAGGATGTCCTCCAGACACCCGGTGATGTTTCCGGGCAGATGTCCGTCCGTCTGGAGCTCCCCGTGTTCCTCCCCGTGATCCTCAGCTTCCACCTGGTTTCCATTATCGTTGATCTCCCGGGATGCAATCAGTTCGTGTCCTTTGGCGTAAAGCTGCTTGCTGTAGTTCAGGTCTGCGGAATCAGGCTGGAGGAAGAAGAAAACCACCAGAGCGGCGCTTCGCTGCTCCGCTAGAAACCGCAAGTCTCCCATTGACGGCCGGTCAACATCCGCTCTGCTCAACGGGGAAACAGCGAGCCTTCACTTCACTGGACAAGCCAACAAACTCTGGACACAAGTCACATTAAACTGATGAAAAGCGTTACGGAAACCCAGTTCAAACTGTTCAAACTTTGACGGTCAATGAGGAAAAACAAGTAGCTTCATGCTAACTTTGATTAGTATCTAAAAGTTCACTTTAACCTAAGCTGCTAACTGCTGACAACAAATCAACAGCAAGAGACAGACTCACTCGCGGCTCCCTGTGGTCTTGAAAACATTTAAGTAAAAGGTTTAGATAGTGATATTAACTCTGAAGCTGGAAAACCCGCAACCTTGTTACCGCATCAGCCTCCAGCGCTGAACTGAGCGACTTCTTCCAACTCAACGCTCTAATGGTGCACGAGGACCAAGTATTACGGTAGTCATGTTTCAGGCGTAAAAACATCTTTACAGACATTTCACCCATCCAACTAAGAAAAGTTCATACTTTTTCCATTTTGCCTTATTTTAATAAAAAAAAAATACAAGCGGCAATGTCACTTCTTAAGATTTTGTTTTGATCTGGATACCGTAATGTTCAGTATACTGCACAAAAAAAAAAAAAAAAAAAAAAAAAAAGGGGGTGGGAGGAGACAACAACAGAAAGCATGGCAAGGTTGAAGCTGGAGGGACGCATTCACTGGACATAAGAATTCGTCCACCCAAAGAACGAGGCTTGTTCATGTACTGTAGTTCTAATCGCCAGTGAAGTAATCTCTAGTATTTGAACAGCTGAGATAAACGAGGTTGTAGTTTGGGTGAAATGGCCTAAATATCCAAACGGAGCTGAGGTGGTTTAAGAAAAATTGTAAAAATGGACCAATATAAGAAAGTTGTAGAGAAACAAAAACCAAAAAAAAAAAAAAAAAAAAAAAAAAAAAACAAGCCAGAAAAACAAAGACAAGAAATGTCAAAATATATTTTTGCAAGAGTTTTCTCCATTTAAAATGAGGTCTGTTAGGAAGAGTTATAGAAATAACTGATGTCAGTGAACTGCCCAACTCGTGACCGTACAGCTGGATGGCTCACACTTCCTAAGTATCTGATAAAGGGAAAAATCCCTCCCACTGGAAAGTCCCTTAAAATAACAAAGAGCACAACTTGGTAACAAACAAAAAGTTAAATTAAATAAAAATTCCATGAATTAGAAAGGAATTAAAATGTTTATTTACAATAATAAAAAAGGATAAAAGTCAAAGAGCAGCCAAGTATGTTGGATTAATGCAGTTACAGGATGTGCAGGAAACAAATTCACCTCTGCA